CAGCAGTTTATTGAAATATATATAATTCACATGTCATATAATTCATACATTTATCCAATTTCAAGTCACATTCCATCTTCCCTCAACCACTCAGTTCTAGGCCACACCATTCATCTTTGTGTCCCAGCAGATTTTCCTCTTATGGATTTTAGATGAGTGGAATGCTATGCAACAGGTAACTGGCATCTTCACTCAGCATATATTTTCAAGATTTATATATACTGTATTGTGCATTACCACTTTGCATAAAGCCTTTTGCACAAGCTATTTTGCCCATCTTCCCTTTATAAAAGATTCATTTATGAGTATTTTACCTGAATGTATATATGGGCAATGCATGCATGATTGCTGCCTACAAAGGCCGGAGGAGAATTCTAATTAAACTATTCCATTTTTTTGTAAGTTTGAAACTTTTCATAATTAAAAAATTAAAAGCCATGCATGGTGGTGTATGCCCTCAATCCCAATTCTCTAGGGTGAGACACCATAGAACCCTAAATTCAAAGCCAGACTAGAACAGGTAGTGAGACCCTATCTCAACAAACAAAAAAGTCCCAGATGTCCCTTGTCCTTTTATGCTTCACTTTGAATATCACCTGACCTCCACCAGTGAGATAGGTATCTCCCATTCTTTCCTTCCTAGTACTTTAAAACAAGTGGAGAGGGGAGAGACTGGCAGACACAAAGTTTCCTGCAGCTCAGGCTGGCCTGGAATTCACTAAGTAGCCAAGGCTGACCTTGAACTCCTAATCCTTCTGCCTCTACCTACCAAGTTCTGTAGTGAGAGCCACAAAGATATGTACAATTATATATATATATATATATATATATATATATATATATATATATATAAATTTATTAAGGAGTGCCGGGGAGAACAGACTCATGGAGTTGGGGATCTAGGGGGTTGGGAACGGGTCACACACCGCTTCACGCTGTCTAACTTGGTCTTCACAACCCAAGAAAGCAGGCTACCCTTTCTCTCCTTTTAAGAGATCCTCTCTGCAGGCAAAGAGGCCACACCCCAAACCCAGTACCACAAAGCTATTGGTGAAATGAATTTACACAACAAGTTCTAGAGTTACAAGCTTACAGCACCATGCTTGGGCTTTAAAAAATTACTTTATTTTCATTACTGTGTACATAGAACATGAGTTATAGTAAAATTCTATCCTTTTTTGTCTGTGTTTTAATTTTTTTATTTATTATTGTGGGTATGATGCATGTGGGCTGGAGATCATGTGGAGAAGACAATTTGTGAGTCAGTTCTCTCCATCCACCTTTGTGGGTCCCTGAGAGAAAATGGATGTCGTCATAGGTTTGTATGTCATGTCGTCATAGGTTTGTATGGCATGTCATCATCACAGGGTTTGTAGGGCATGCTGTCATAGGCTTGTATGGCATGTCGCCATAGGTTCGTATGGCATGTACTTTACCTCCTGTGCCATCCCACTTGTCCCTCAAGTTCTATTCTTTTTTTAAATTTATTTTTATTTCACGTGCATTGGTGTTTTGCCTGCATGTATGTCTGTGTGAGGGTGTTGGGTCCCCCAGAATTGTAGTTACAAACAGTTGTGAGCTGCCATGTGGGTCCTGGTACTTGAACCTGGGTCCTCCAGAAGAGCAGTCAGTGCTCTTTACCATCTTTCCAGCCCTGCAAGTTCTATTCTTAATCATAAGTAGAATGAAGTAATTAATATCTATCACTGAGTTTATTTAGATGTTTTGAGCAGTTTAAATTCTAACATAATTCTCGCAACATGAATAAATGGCAATGAAGAAGCCTGCAGTTCATCAGAGTCACATCGTCTAGGGCTGGGGGTAAGAGAGTTAGATATGAGAACACCGGCCACATCCCACATGGCTACATCATTGTATTTGAAGAAAGTGATATTTTTCCTTCTCTCTTGGAATGGAAGACTAAATAAAAAGTATGTATCAAACATTCTCACCTGCTATCTGTTTCTTCTACCCTATACCCTCATTCCCTACTTCATCTATGACTAGCAATCTGCAGACTTAAGACAATGAGGATCAAAGGGAATCAGAATGTTATAGGCAATAGTTAGCATGACATCTGATACAAAAAAAGATTAGGGCATTTAAAATTATTAAAGTCACTTATTTATTATTTATTTATTAAGACAGGATCTCACCATGTAGACCAGGCTGGCCTTAAACTCAGAGATTTATCTGCCTGCCACTGCCTCTGCTTCCCAAGTGCTGGTATTAAAAGCCTAGCTTTTGGGGGTTTCAAGAAAGGGTGTTGCTGTGAAACCCTGGCTAGCCTGGTCTGTGCTGTTTATGTATGCTAGTCTAGCCTCAAATATAAGGCAATTCTCCTGCCTCAGCCTCCCAAGCATTAGAATTACAGGCGTGTACCACTATGTCTACAAAGTAATTTTCAATATTTTATTTTTCTTAGAGATAGCAGCTTGAGGTACTACTTGGCTGACCACAAACTCCTAGTTCAAGTGATCCTTCTGAGCAGCCAGGACTATAAGCAAATATCATTATTTTGAGCTAATAACTTAAAAATATAAAGAAAACTTTTCTGCATAGATGAGTGTTATCTCAAAATAATCCTAATTAAAAGTATTTAATATGACTATACACAGAGCATAGTGTTAGGCACAAGTAATAATTGTCCTCAAATAACTTATCTTCAACTGAAGAATCAGGGTACAAAGGAAAGACAGGAGGAATACAAGGTAACAGAAGCAGAAGAAAATACTGTCTATAAGGCCACTGGGCAGGGCTTCTTAGAAAGGACAGAAAGGACAAGGCTTGGCAGGATGGGAGAGATGGTTCAGCAGTTAAGAGCACTTGTTGCTTTTACTCGAGACCCAGGTTCAGTTCCCAGCAGGTCACAAACCATCTCTAACTCCAGTTTCAGGGGGTCAGATGCTCTCTTCTGGCTTCTTCAGGCACCAGGCACGCACACACAGACAGACAGACACACACAGACAGACAGACACACACAGGCCTATACACAAAATAATTTAAAAAATGAAATAATTAGGGCTGGAGAGATGGCTCAGAGATTAAGAGCATTGTCTGCTCTTCCAAAGGTCCTGAGTTCAATTCCCAGCAACCACATGGTGGCTCACAACCATCTGTAATGGGGTCTGGTGTCCTCTTCTGGCCTGCAGGCATACACACAGACAGAATATTGTATACATAATAAATAAATAAATAAATAAATAAATAAATAAATAAATAAATATTTTTTAAAAATGAAATAATTAAAAAAGAAAGGAAATGGCTTAAATTTGGTTTACATTAGTGAAGTAAGGTGTAAAAGTGTGGGTGAGCAGCCAGTACGTGGTGACGACCAGAGGCGAGCAAAGCACACTGAATGACGAAGATGGGGTGAGAGGGGAACCTTCAGTGGGTAGTGAAAGCGACATGGAGCAAGTGGTGTTTCACAAAGGTGGAGCTGCAGAACAGAGCAATTGAGAAGAGGGCAAGCCTACGACACCAGAGGCCAGTCTTGACAAGTGGCTGACCCATGCATGAAGAAAGGGCAGTCCCTCCTGTCTACTCTCCAGGAGGTTTCTGCTTCCTATGGAAAATGCTCCAGTCCCTACTCCTTTCTGCATTTCCTACCAACAAGTGTTGTGCAAAATGGCAGAGTGCTATAACAATATACCAAATAATATAAAGAGAGGAGATGTTATTGAAGGTCTTTACTTTATGATTAAGGTATATCTAAAAATATTACTGTTCATCATCATTTTAAATGCCAGTAACCTTCCTTGAAGAAGTTTTTGACAAAAGAAGCAATTATCTATCATTTGCAAATTTTCTTGTTCTAAAAGTAAGCAGTTATGTTCTATAGATAAAATTTATGTGAATAAAACTTATTTTATACAAAAATACAAAAATGTATTACCCAAAGTAGAAATGATTATAATTAATGTTTCATCATACATACATTAAATTCAGTCAGTATTCATTTATCCAATAAATATTTACTATGAAATAAATGATAAAATACTATCAATTTAATATCATTATTATCTCTTTATGACAACAAAGTCAGAGACATTCTGAAAAAAGGTAAATATTAGCACATATGAAACAAAGAGACAGACTCAAATATTGGCTCTAGCTTAGTTCTGAAGTCACCCAGCAAGCCAACATCACCCTTCTCAGCTTCTGCAATGAGCAACAGACAGATCTTACATTTGTGGAATGCTTGATGCACATGTTCGCCTTTTCTTAAATCCAGAACTTTGGACGTTATGAAGTTGGGCAAGTTTGGTTCTATTCCCTCATAATCTGCAGATGAGGAAGCCAGCTCTAAGTCACAGGCTGTGATCACGGCCCAGGGGCTCGTCCTAAATCCCACCTTTCCCATCAGCTAGGCTTCCTCTTGCTACCTCTCAAACCATAGTTACAGGGAAGGAAATAGTCAAGGGGTACAGCATTACACAAATGAAAGTTATACTCACTAGTTCAGGCGTAGAGGGACTAAAGCAAATTTTGTGGTATCTCTTTAAAGAAAACATACACGCACACACACATATACACACAAATTATAGGTAAAGACCTTGGAAGGGACCCTAAAATGAAAACTTCTCCTAGCCTCAGGAGAAGCTTGCCTTTGGAAGCAACAGAAAAGAAAACCATCAGACAACTTAGTAAAATCAAAAATTCCCCCCAAAAACTGAGACTATGTCCTCTAAATCATATGAAAAGGACATAGAAATACAGGGCCAAATTGGCCTTTATTTTCTCATGTTCAGTCACAAAATTTCAAACAAAACTTCCAGATAAAGTTGTCTTTGATGTAGCTTTATTAAGACTAAAAGAACAAATTACCAATAATTATAATAAATGATTATAATAAAAGCAATGAAGAATTGCTTTTCTAAAATAATTAAGCTAAAACATCACACCATATATTAATTACTGTCATACACACAGGCATAAACACGCACATACTCACACTTACAGTTTGGCAAGCAAAAGATCTCATTAAAAAAAAAAATTACCTCGTCTCCGCCCATAGCTCCTGGCTGCATGGAAACACAGAAGAAAACCATGGGTATTTGTATCAAAACGGTGAATTTAGAAATTAGAGAAACGTTCACACAAACGTTATCCAAGTATTCTTGAAACGGTAATCTGGAGATCCTGTTCTGCTTCACAGTTCATACACTGGGGAAAACCTTCATGAAGCATTAAAGTCACAACAACTCAAATGGCTGTGGCAGCTGCTGGAACCCAGCCTCACGAGTCGTGTAAGTCTTTATTGGGTATACTGGGGCCTATTATCTATATCAGACATAGATAAGAGCCTTTTAAGAATAATTTGTAAATCTTCATTTGAACTTTTTATTACCATCAGATATCACTCACAGAAAAAATATTCTAAATTACTAAAAGTTATCGCATATGATGGGCATTCCAAACTTTTTACTATACACACATACACACACACACTCAACTTCACAAATGCCCTGAAAATGTATAGAAATTATATGTCATTAGTTGTTTCTTTAAAGAATCCATTTCTGTGAATTTTTGTATGTATGCAATTTCACATGTATGGGGCCACATATGTATACAAGAGTGTTTGCACATATAGAGTCCTGAAGCTGATTTCATGTGTCTTTGTTAATTGCCCACCACTTTATTTACTGAGGCAAGGTCTCTTGTTGAACTAAACAAGAGCTTGTGAGTCGGCCTAGTGAAGCTGGCCAGCTTGCCCTGGGGATCCTGCCTCTACCCCGAGTGCTGAGATTACAAGCATCCACGCTTGGCTTCAAACTCCAGGACTCTCACACTGTGCTCGGCAAGTGTTTTAATCCCACTGAGCCATCTCCCCAGCTTAGTTTCTATAAAATTCTTAGTCAAGTTTCTCTTACTCTCTCCATTTGCCTTCCACATCTCACCATTATTTATATCATAGGAAGGAGAAAGTACTACATTTTACATCTGTAAAATGAAAGTAGAAATACATCAAGGCTCTGGATCTGCCCAAGGCAGCCCATAATAACGGAATTCTGAAGGCTGCTTCGTCACAGCTTGGGCCCCGTGTTTAGCAGAGCTGACCTATGGCTTCATCTATCACCAGTTACTACTTACAGTGGTGCTGAGAATGGAAAGATTAAATTTGAAGCCTTCTTAAATTTGAAACCTCCAGTTCTATAAAAACAAATGAAACCTTAAACTGCATTAATCCATGAAGCATACAATGCCATAAAACTCCTTTGCACTGAAAAATGATCATAAAATGGACTCATTAGTACTACAGAATAAAGGGAAGAAAAGCATTCCTTGAAGACGCCAGACTTTTCAGCAACATCCCTGAAACCACTCATGAGTCTCACTGCTTTCTACTTTCTAACTCTCTGTCACCTCCACCTTTGTCCTCTTTCCCTTCCCTCCATTCAAAGATGAGAAAGGGTTACCCAGTTCAGATCTCCCTGCCTCATTCCTCAGCCCTACTATAACCTAGAGTGAAGAAATCTCTTCTGAATTTATACAGCTACTATTGTCTCCCATCAGTCCACAGGGGATGTGTTCCAAAGCATCTAAAAGGGCTTACTCTTCTCATTATTTGGAACCTGAAATTCATCTCCCCCCAGGAGAGCAGCTTGCTTCACCCACAATGACATGGACAGAGTAGCACTGATGGGTTAACATTGTGATTCTATCACTTGTCCCTTTGTGCCTTCTCTCCCATTCCCAGTGATGTCATGCTGCCTGTTAAGCCACTGGAAAAAAATCTCTACTGAGAGAGAAAATAAAAGTACTTTGTATTCAAAATTACAAATTACTCAGTGTTCTCCCTAACAACAACTCACCACCACCACTATTATCTCTCATTTCAGGACAAATATTTCATGAAAACAAAATCTGATTAGAATATAAAAGTATCAGGGACCACTGGTTCTTAGCACCTCACCTAAAGAATAAATGAGAATCCTGTTCACTCAAAACTATAACTGCCGAACACCTGAGAACACAAAGTGAATAGATTTAGGCTTTATGGGGTTGGATGAGCACTTTGAACTGAGAGAGAGGAAGAGGTGCAAAGACCTTCATGGACCAAGTGATGGTGGCGTTGGCCTTTAATCTCAGCACTCGGGCAGATCTCTGTGAGTTCGAGGCCAGCCTGGTCTAAAGTGAGTTCCAAGACTCTGTTACACAGAGAAACCTTGTCTTGAAAAACAAAGCAAAACAAAACAAAAAGACGTCCATGGGAACTTGAACTAATGCTTTCTTTAAAGTTCATGATTTTAGCTTCTTCTCATTTTCCATTTCTGAACAGAACTGCAAATGGGCTCCTGATGGCAGGACAACATACAGAATTTAAGAAGCAATTTGAGATACTGACGTTTGTTTATATCCCTCATTGAAGAATTGAAATACGCTCCATCTTGGTCCTAACCAGTATTTTATCTAAGATCTCTATGATAGTATTACCATAGCAGCTACAAATGAATGATCACTATATGCTTCACACCTATTAATATGCTTTAGTGTAACACACAGATTTATGGCCTATTTTTCTTTGTTGTTTTGGTTTTGCTTTTGTTGAGACAGAGTCTCAGTACATAGCTCTAGCTAGAATGGAATTCACAGAGATCCACCTGTCTCTGCCTCAGAGGTGCCTCTGAGGATTAAAGACATGTACCCTCACACCCCTCCCCATGTGTAACAATTACATGGTTCCCCAACATGAGCTTTGTAGATGACACTGTTATGCTACATGTCAAGAGTTTGGCAATGGGGAGCTGGCCGAGTTGGTCAAGTGCCTGCTGCACAAGCATGAGGCTCTGAGTCTGAATTCATAGTACACACATGAAAAGCCAGAGATGACCACACAGGCCTATACTGGGCAGGTCAACCAGCCTAGCCAAATTGGTGAGCTCCAGGTTCAGTGAAAGACCCTGTCACAAAAACTAAGGGGAAGATGGGAGGAACACATCTAATGTCGACCTCTGGCTGCCACTCACGTATATTCCCATATGAACACTTGCTCATGCACACACACGAGACTGGATAGCATGCTGGTACCGAAGAAACATAGCCTCTTAGCACTGTACACAGTCGAGGGAGAGAGTAACACATGACATGCTTTGATTGTCTGTAGAACATAAGCCAATTCTGATGGTAATTTGAAATTTGATAAATTTGCTTCTATGAGGACTATTTGTGAACAGTCCAGTTTGAGTCAAATGCTTCCATAAGAGAAAGGTAATGAATACTGAAAAGAATGTTGGGGGAAAACAGCAGTGCTTTCATCTAGAGGTAAGCATAGCTCTAAGGAAGATCCACCCGTGTCAGTCTCCCCACAGCCAGTACACAAACCCATGCCACCATAGCCACCTTATTTACATGGGTCCTGGGATCAAACATAGGTCAGGTCTTGCAGGACAAGCACTTTACCAATAGGCTCTCTCCCCAACCTGCAATCTTGTTTTAAATTTTGGCTTGTATACATGGAAATGGGCTTCACTGTGAGAGTTGCAAACATGTACACACCATAAGACCTCCTCCTTGTTTCTCCACACTGTCTTCCTCATTTTCTTCTCTTGTTGTCTTTCCTCCTCCCCTAGTGTCACTTTCTGCTTTCACGACACATGTATTCTATTATTCTCTCTTGCTTCTCCCTCCTTTCTTCTTTCCCTCTTATAGTCCCCCCCATTCTTCTTCTTCAGTGGTGGTGGTAGTGTATGTGTGTGTAGATTCTGCATGACAGAAAATGTGATATATGTCTTTCTAAACTTTATAGCATAAAGAACTCCAGATCCATTCATTTTCCTACATGTCATAATTTCAGATATCTTCATAGGTGAAACTTCATTTTGTATATTTACCACATTTTTTAAATACAGGATCATACTATGTAGCCCTGGTTGTCCTACAATGCTGGGATTAAGGGCATGTACTATAATATGCCTATGTATCACATTTCTTTATCTATTAACAGACTCTTAGGTTGGCAGCAATAAACATGGATCCATAACAGTCTCTGTGTAAACGTCTTTGAGTATATACTCAGGAATATTACTGTTATGTGCTAGATAATACATTTAAGAAGTATTAGATTGTTAGGAACCTCCATGCTGATTTCCATAATAATAGCTATACAAATTTACATTCCCACCAGCCATATATAAGAGTTTGTTACATATCTTTGCATTTGTTCTTTATTTGAGGCAGGGTTTCACTTGGCAGCCTACGCTGACCTCAAACTCATGGTGATCCTCCTACTTCTGTGCCTCTCAAGTGACAGAATTACAAGTGTGAGTCACCACAACAGGCTACCGTCACTTGTTTTCTCGATGCTAGCCATATTCACTGGCCTGAGAAAACAATCAAGGCAGTTGTAGTTTGCATTTGTTTTAAGGCTAAGAGTGTTAAACCTTTTTATAGGTATTTGCTGGCCATTTGCAGTTCTTCCTCTGAGGTGAGGCATGTCCATTCAATTCATTATCCCCATTAACTGTTTGAATGAGGGTTTTTGTTGTTAATTTTGTACAGATTATAACTATTAATCCCCTGCTGGGTTCACAGCTGGCAGACTTGTTTTCCTGTTCTATAGGCTATTTCTTCACTCTGTTGATAGTTTCCTAACTTCATGCAATCCCACTTGCTAATTCTCGGGATTATTTCCTGTTCTCCTTTGCAGAAAGTCTGTGCCCATCCATTGCCATATCCTCCTGCAGCAGTCTGAGAGCATCAGACCTGCGATCATCTTGACCCATTTTGAATAAGGGTCTAGTTACAATCTGTCCACATTACACGTGGATACCCAATTTTAAGCACAATGTTTGAAGATGCTGCCTTTTCCTCTATGTATATTCTTGACACCCTTGTCAAAGATTAGGTGACTGTAGCTGTATGTGGTTGGTTTGGTTGGTGACCAGGTCAAACTCATGTTGAACTCCCAGTCCTTCTGCCTCAACCTACAAGGTGCTAGGCTGGCAGTGAACACCATTATGCCTGGCAGGAAGCACAATTTGTTCCTGTGATTAAGACAGTGTATTACTCAGTGTAATAG